CCCCAAAACCCCAAAACCCCAAAACCCCGCAGCATTAATTATTTAGCAGATAGAGGTTAATATTTAAATTTGCATTAATAATTAAACAGTTTAAACTTAATCTTCACTCCTTTCTAAGCTCTTCTTTAATTTTGATTTCAATGTCGCTGAAATCTTCATCTCCCTAGTCATTAAACTGCATTTATGATTCGCTATTTTTTCTTCTTTTTGATACAGATGTTTGCCCTGTAATAGTGGTGTTTGTATTCTAACCTTACCCCTGAACAGTTCCCTCATCATTATCTTCACTCTTCTTGCCAGTTAATTGCTTTATTTCTTCATCTAAGTTTTCAAGTGCCCTAGATCACCATAATTCATAAAAAATTATCTTACTTCTTTCTAACATTCGGATCACTATTCTGTAATGGAGACCTTAGCCTATTTTGAATTATAGATATGATCCAGATTTTATCTGAAATATCTTAAAACTTATCACACACCTTCATCAAGTTTTCCTAGATATACTCAGGGAAAAATGTATGTAAGGAAAAGTTTAATGTTTGATCTCCAACTTGGGTTGAGTTTAATTTATTTTTCATAAAGAATCTTAGGAAAAACCAAGAAACGTAGAAGCTACTTATGAGTCTCAAATCTTGGTCTAATTCAAATAAGAACTGCACTAGCATGAATAAACCAAGATAGACTTGAGGAAGGATCTAATAGGATTTAACAAAAAGAGTGAAATTTTACTTTATATGGAACCATGAGATTTCCTTTGATAAATGGAATATTAGTATCAAATTATTTATCATGATAATTTTGCCTTAATCCCATCATTGTCGCTAACACAACAGTATTTATTGAGAAATATTCAACTTTCCTAAATTTTATTAAAATCAAAAACTAATACTTACATGTAACCAGAATTTTGAGTTATTTCAAAAGCAAGATATCTGAGACAAAACACAAAGAGCCCAGTAAAGATCGAAACATAGATTAATAAGGAATATAGCTGCTTCTTGGTCCAGATATTATCAAGTTCCTTCATAAAGTGTTGTAAAATGTACAAATTAAGACACAACTATAAATTTGAGGTTAGTAGTGTTTCAGCTATAATAAGAGGAAATCTTACGTAAACTAAATTGGTATCAAGTAGATTTGAAGTAACTAATGTCCATACGGGAGGTATCACATCAAATTATATCATCCTAATGTAAAACTTATTAAATTATCGAATATTTACATTAAAGGATTAAACACAGCATAGTAGTATATATCGCTAAAGAGACTTGAAATAGACAGCAATATGATAACAATAAATAGCTCTCTGGCAATATTAGGAACTTGAAATAAACCTGAGTATTAACTGGTGAATTGATTGTATTTCTCAATTTATTACTGCACAATTTCTGGTCTTTTGAATGAAGGCATGCTAATCTATGGTAACTTAGGCATTGATGGCAAATATTTTCTGAATTCAGGCAGCTATGGTCGCTTAAATTCAGGAAGCTTGCCTCTGAATTCTGCAAGTTTAGTTTTGATTTTTTCCATTATAAATTCACACTATAAAATTCTCTTAAATTATCAATAATTTATTGAATACGGGGTTTTGGGGTTTTGGGGTTTTGGGGTTTTGGGGTTTTGGGG